AAAAAGTTCTCGGCCCGACCATGAAGGAGCAGAGATACGACGTCGACTTATTAGACCAAAAATGTTCATTAAGTCAAATAACCAGCGTTAAGACAAACACATTTCGCGCAGCGCTTCGCGAGAGACCCCAGGGTCTCCATAGCCAAGTGGGCTTTGGACCCATCTGGCACGTCCAAGACGGCTGCTTTTGTCTCCTTGCTGTCAGTGAAGTTGCCATTGCTAAGCAATTTCCTTATGTTGGGGAAGAGATGGCAACCAGAGGGTGCAAGGTACGGAGAAAAAAGTGGCTGTGACATTATTTCGAAGCCACAGCTCACTGCTTCGCTGATCGTCACCCTGCTCATGTGTGCTGGTGCGTGGTCCTGGATCAGGCGCACACTTTTAGTCAGCTTCCCTAATCTCTCCTTGATATCTGCTGCTCGCAACTATTATCGAAGGGAGGTGTAGTATTCATCATCAATTGTGCTCCTCTGTTTTAGAAAGTTAGCGAGCAGAGCCCCGTCAGCATCCCAAAATGCAACCACTGTCACTTTGCCGACTGACTTAAACACGTCGCACACATTTGGTGGCCTTTAATCAGTGTGCTTTCACTTGTGCAACTCGGTCACGCCCTTAGGGTCAACGTGTGACACCCACAATCCCTCCACGGTAACAAGTAGTTCAATGAACTCTTTTGGATCTTCGATATAGGGGCCAAAATTTTCGCGTTACGCCTCCTTTCGAGTTTGCCTTTCCTCTGGAGTCAGCAAATGAGGGATGCATCTTGCAGAGATCTTAAATATATTAATACACTGTTGAAGAATGACTTTGAGGAGCCTGATAGACACCTCCGCTTCTGCTGCGTTGTTCCATACCAGAAAATTTGTCATTTTTTACAAAGAAGTGCTTATTTTTCATATTTTCTTGAGTCAATGCTGTTGATGGCTGGCCACTGCGGGGGTGACCATTAATGATCTGTTGACCAAAATTGAACAGAGATGCCCACTTTTTGACGCTACTGTAAGAAAGACAAACCTCAACATGTGTTGGCACTAGCTTTTTGTGAATAACGTTTGGTGCATTTTTCTGCAATGCATGGACCAAATCACTGTTCTCTTCTGGGCCTCGCCCATTCTGACCGGGAATGGCAAACTATATTACGATTAATTAGCAGCCTGAACCAATCACAGGGCAGATTGGTTAATGGCTACGTAAGTGGACATCCCTATAACACATCATTGAACATACCGCGTTGCAGGCTGAAATTCCAACTCCTTCATGGTTGGGCCGAGAACTTTTTGAACGCCCCTCGTAGTAACACCAATTCACGATATTACACCTTCCAATACGTCCCCGCAACAAAGAAACGCGCCATAATTCTATCGCTTGGTGCGCCACATTGAGTAGCAAAACCATCGGCATCACGAAAATCCGTCATGCCATTCTGCGGCAGAATACTCTGCCGTGACGTCATACGTTGGAAGATCCCCCTATTGATGCTTACTGCGCATGCGTCATGGAAAAATTCCATAATATTTTTCGCTGAAACGGGCCTATCTATAAGAATGTTTGTCTTGGTTGCTTGACAATATCATGTTCGAAAAAACATGCCTAAGGACGATTGGATCGTTGTTTAGAGAGACGTCTTTTTGTAATGTGATGCTGTTGTATCCGTTGCGATAGTTCAACACTTTTTCTCTTTCTAACGCGACTGTTTTTCTATCAGCAGGGTGCCGAGGGCGCCGACCTGATGTCCAAGGAGGGGGCCGAGGGCGCCAAGGAAGGCGAGGCTAAGGAGGGAGAGGCCAAGACCGACGGCGAAAAGAAGACCGACGGGGAAAAGAAGGCCGACGGTGAGAAGACCGACACCAAGGAGGGCGACGCCAAGAAGACCAAGCCGGCCAAGCCGCAGCGCGAGAAGATCTTGCCCGAGTACCTCAACTGCACCGTCTGCAACGTCATGAACATGAAGAGCGAGCAGACGTTCAGTGAGCACACGCGCGGCCGCCGCCACCAGCAGATGATGGAGCTGATGGATTCCAAGCTCGAGCAGACGGCCAAGCTGATCCGTATCGAGGTGCAGGTGGCCGCACGCCGCGCCGAACAGGAGGCGCAGCGCCGCCTCAACGGCAAAATGCCCAAGGAGACCGGCTTCTGCGGCATGTGCAACGTCAAGGTCTACAAGGAGATCCAGGACCACCGCTTCAACGACCCGCTGCACTCCAAGCTGAAGAAGTGAGTAAAGGCTGAAACAGACTCTTTCCGCATTCAGAAAATCGCATGCGAGAGCCTATTCAAATACACTATAGTTCTTCCCGCAGCAATCGCATCCGGGAGGTGCGTGCGATTGATGCTAGCGTGCTTCCATGTATTTGAATAGGCTCTCGCATGCGATTTCCTGACTGCGGAAAGAGTCTGTTTCAGGCCTAACGCTGGTCGAGCTGTTTGGGGTCATGCTGAGTGGTCTGGTTTAAACACTGATCTTTTGGTGTCTATGTTACCCAAACTTCCTGCCGATGAATCGTCCCACGATCGGATGATTACAGTTAAACTGACGACGTTGTTTGTTCTCAGGTTCCTGCACCCGCGCTGCTGCGGTATGGGATTTGAGACTCCCGTCCTGTACGAACGCCATCTGATCTCGTTCGCTCACTTCCGGGTAAGTCACTGGCTAATAAGGCAGCAATGCCTTTTATTACGTTTTATTTCTACGGTGGCACCTAAGAACTAAGCGACTTCCTGGCTGGACTTGTGTACGTTTAGTTGTCACTGTTGTCTTATCCATAAACTGACTATTCTCTCCTGTATCGTCGACAGAAATGTCAGCAGCGCGACAAGGACCGCGCCACGGAGGCCGGTGTCAATGCCATGGGCGTGATGGGAGACGCCAGCCAAGGTGTGGCAGCCGCAGCTGCTGCAGCCGCCAAGGAGAACGGCGAACCCAAGGAGGGCGCCGAGAAACCGGCCGAGGGAGCGGAGGGGGCCGAGGGCGCGGAGAAGCCCGCCGAGGGAGCAGAGGGCGCGGCGGCAGAGGGCGCTGAGGGCGAGACTCCGGCGGCCGGCGAGGGCGCTGAGGGCAAGACTCCGGCGGTCGGCGAGGGCGCTGAGGCGCCCGCCGAGGGCCAGGAGGCCGCCAAGGAGCCAGAGAAGCCCAAGGAGCCCGAGAAAACCATCGAGGACGAGGAGATTCCGGTCACCTACGACCCGGATGTGACCGTGGCCGCGTGCGCCGGCAAACCGTTCGTGGGCACCTACTGTTCCGTCTGCAAGCTGGTCACTCCGAACGAGTACTGGCCGGAGCACTGCCGCAGTCGGATGCATTACAGCCGGTTTGTGGTGGCCCGCGCCGCCATCGACCGGGCAAAGAAGGAGGCCGCCGAGAAGGAAGAGCGCCGGAAGAAGAAGGCGGCCGCGGCTGAGAAGGCTGCGGCCGCTGCCGAGAAGGCTGCTGAGGATGCAGAGGTTAGCGTCATGGAGGACGAGGCCGAACCGGAGGAGCCGGCCGGGGGCGAGGGGCGCGGCACCAAGCGCGCCGCCGAGGAGGATGAGTCGAGCGAGGCCAAGAAGGCGGCCACCGAGGAGGCTCCGGCGGATGAGAGCGGCATAGACAAGATGCTGGACGAGATGAATGAGGAGCTGGACGGCGACAAGAAGGCGGACGGTGAGGCGACCGAGGGCGAGGCTGCTGTGAAGACGGAGGGCGAGGAGCCCGCCGCTGAGGGAAAGGAGCCCGCCGCTGAGGGAGATGCGGCCGGCGAGGCGGCCACCAATGGTACAGAGAAGCCGGCAGAAGGAGATGCGGCCAAGAAGACCGAAGCGGCGGCAGCTGCACCTGCCAAGACGGCGGCGGCTGCCACCCCAGCCAAGACGGCGGCGGCAACCCCAGCCAAGACGGCGGCCGCCTCGGCCAAGACGCCAGGCTCTGGGTCGGGCACCCCTCGCGGCAGGGGCAACCGCGGCGGGCGTGGGGGCTTTGCGCGGAGGCGCAGCCGTGGACGGGGGGTGCAGCGTTTCTAACTAGCTGATTCTATCTGCTGCTTCGGTCCGCGACCCGGCGGAGCGGGACCGGCTGACAGCATGCGTTTTATCGCATCACTGGCGTGGCGAGGACAGAGCGCATGTCTCGCCCGTTCACCTCTCATTGTTCGTACTGGATGTAACGTGTCATGAGTGACGGCAGGACAATACACACACCTGTCTAGCCGAGCAGCGAGTGTGGTTGAGGTTTGGAATTGGCACGAATCCGTCGGGGGAGCACAGGGCACAGGCTTTTTGGATAACTTATAGGATTTGAGGTAGCGAGAAGTGATAAAGAATTGCGACTTTGTAAGAAGGCTGCCTGCTCAGAAAATCGCTGAATAAGCTTAATCGAAGGGAATTACGCCTTCCGACTCGATCGATGGCTGTGGCCAAATCGATAATTTCACTAAGGGGAAGCCCGAGGCTGATAGGTCGACGCCTTAGCGACTTAAACGTCACCGGGACGCCATTGGGCTTGATGGCGCAACTGGCCTGCTTTACAGTATCCGAAGTTATTCGACATTATTCGTGTATGCCTTAACCAGGGTTTGACCGTTGGTTACGCCTTCATTGCATGCTGTTGAAAGTTACAACCCTGGGTCACGAGTCACCAGGCCTCATTACTGAGGACATTGTGTAAGATGCCCGTTCATTCCATCTTAACCCAAGTGGAAAATAGAAATGCTTTTTTGTGTGTGAAGGTATCTAACAACGGACCGAACAGTCTTGGATTAAATAAATTATTTTCGTTTGTTCTGTCATTCAGCCCTAACATTGCGGGAATAACCCTCAAAAATACCCATTGAAAGTTAGTCCACGTCATTTCGAGATCCCCGATGGGCTCTTACCGTGCATTACCGTGCAAAGGTGACTTGGGTCCCATATCCCTATCAGTTGCACTACCGGGTCTCCCAGGTAGTGAGTACTGAGTATCTGTAACACTGCCGACAACCCACAGATAGCACTCGACAGAGACAGTCAACAACAGTCGAACACGCCCTCAGAGCAGTCTGTGCCGTCGCAACGTGGCAGGACGCTGGGTGTGAGTGAAGGAAGCGACTGAGATAGGGAGGCCTGAGTCGAGCCCCTCTGCGGGATGCGAGGTGACGCGTGGTGAGGCGCAATGTACGAGAACTTCGAGCGGACTGACATCCTGTTGTCATGTCCTCAGGGCAGTGTGCCTTGGATGAGGTATCCTCTTTCGAACCTCGGCCAAGTCGAGCAGCACTGAAGAGGTGCCGCCAGGTCCAAACTGTTTACGTTCGAGGCTAACTGCGGCAGGGTTGTGACTTCACGTAGTGATTGTGGTCGCCTCCCAGCCGTCGATATGGCTGACATGCATGACGAGTCGAATCGGAGACGGACTTTCTTCGGCTGGCCTATGCTACGCCCCTCTGCGGAGGAGCTGGCTCGCGCTGGGTTCTTCTACACGGGCTCCGCCGACGTGGCGCAGTGTGCCTTCTGTTGGGTGTCTTTAGGAAACTGGGATCCATCCGACGATCCGTTCGAGGAGCATCGCAGACATAGTCCGCTGTGCTCCTTTCTACATCGCCTGCAGACTGCCCCGGGGTCTGTCGGACATCACCAAGCCGCTGGTAGGGATGAGACCGGGCGTCATCTCCACAGCCCGCCGCCGGCCGTCCAGCCCAGCCCGGCTCCCCAGGAGATGACCACTGTGGAGTCTCGCCTGGGGAGCTTCCAGGGCTGGCCGGACGGCGCGTGTGTCCGACCGGAGGTGCTGGCCCGGGCTGGCTTCTACTACACTGGTCGTGACGATCGAGTGCGATGTTTCCATTGCGGTGTCACTGTCGGTCAGTGGGAGCCGGGTGATGATCCCTGGTCGGAACACGCTCGCCACAGTGCCGGCTGCTACTTTGTGAAGCTGTACAAACCTGCGGAAGGCGGTTCGAGCGGAGAGAAGGTCGCCGGAGCAGGAACATCACCGGGAGACCGTCAGGGTGGCCGGCCGATCCTTGGTCGAGGAGCAAGGGATACGCAGGGGACTGAGAGAGAACCCTCAGTGACAGGAAGGGAGGATTTTGAATCCCCAGAGCTGGCTTACCGCGAGCCCACGCCGGCCCATGAAGTCACGTCGTTGGGCCAAGAGTCGTCCTCGCCACCGAGGCCATCGGATGAACCCAGACTGCCACGAGGTCACCCGGCACACGATCAGGAAGCTGGCCTCGTTCAGCAGTCTGCAGAAGTAGCTCTAAGCCCTGAGATTGGTCCGGGCGAGGCGCTGTCAAGCCTAGAGTTGCAACAGATTCGAAACATCTTAGAGTTGAACCAAGATCCTGACCCAACGCCAGGAATGACAGGGGCAACTGAACACCACAGTCAGACACATGAACTCGAAGAATCTAACTCACATCCTGGCCCGACACAGGAAAGATCCAACCGAGAACCTGAAGCTATGCGGCGGCATGTAGCAGAACCCACCCAGCACCTCCACCAGGCGCAGGATATTACAGGATCCAGGCAGTCGCCTAATGAGGTCTGGGCAGTCGCGAAACTGAGTCAGGAGTCTGCTGCTATGAACGGTGTACCCACGACGGGAGCTGGGAGCGCCACTGCCCCGGGGGTCACCGAGTACCAGCGTCTACGCGATGAGCGGCTCTGCAAGATTTGCATGGAGGGGGACGCATGTGTGCTGTTCTTTCCCTGCAACCACATGGCCACGTGTCCCGCTTGCGCCTTGCTGGTGAGAACGTGCTGTATCTGTAGGTCTCCGATCAAGGACGTGATGCGAGTGTACATGGCCTGACATCAACTTTGCAGACTGAAACGATAGTTACTGCCAAGAACTGCGATGATGCGATAGCTTAAGGTACCGGTATCGCCATTGTTTATTGGTATCGGATGCTTTCTGTGAGCGTGAAGTGGTTTATTTATTACTAATAATTTGTATACAGTGCAAAGTAATTTCTATCAAATAAAACGTTACATATAGGTACTTATAGTCGGGAACGGAATGATTCAGGCAACGTCAAGATTAGATAGACTCACGGATACACTAAACGGGATGATAGGACTTAGAGCGTTGAAGGATAGATCCATAGGTAGCATGAATCATGCAATCATGACTCATGGTTCATATTATCTATGATAGAGTATATTAGAGCGCTGACAGTTGTAGGTATCAGTGGTAAACAGGAAGCTAATATGACGAATAATGGCAATCCGGAATCGGGAAAAAGTCCAATGAATAGCTGCAATCGGATGTTTATTTTCACTATGGTATAGTGTCATGGATACACGGATCAGTAAGAGCTCACTGATCAGGGAGCTCTCCCTACCGCCCATTCCCAACGTTGTCCTACCTCAAGGCCTTATTGCTCACCTACCTGGGACCACGTATCGCCGGACCACCAGCTCTGAGGCACCAGTCGTCCCAGTGTGTTCGTTACTCCGTGCAGACCCACTCTGCACTATGTCCGTGAACTTAGCGACGTATACGTATACGTATTCAGCGACGAATTCCAAATCACTTCAGATTCATGGCATGGGTTAAGTTGACCATGCTGAACACGAATATGACATTTATTTTAACTTTTGAGCTGATCTTCATGGTTAAAATCCGGTTTAAATAACGGGGAACCGCATAACGTCACGAAAATAAAAACCCACGAATTGCAAAGTATATTCAAAATGTAGAGCTCAACCAGATCTAACGTCCGTGGAAGAATCCAAGCTCGTTGCTCAACACCTTCATGGTTAAAATCCGGTTTAAATGACGGGGAACCGCATTACGTCGCGAAAATAAAAACCCACGAATTCCAAAGTATGTGCAAAATGTAGAGCTCCTCCAGATCTAACGTCCGTGGCAGAATCCAAGCTCGTGGCTCTTTAACTTCATGGTTAAAATCCGGTTTAAATGACGGGGAACCGCATAACGTCGCGAAAATAAAAACCCACGAATTCCAAAGTATGTGCAAAATGTAGAGCTCATCGAGATCTAACGTCCGTGGAAGAATCCAAGCTCGTGGCTCTTTAACTTCATGGTTAAAATCCGGTTTAAATGACGGGGAACCGCATAACGTCGCCAAAATAAAAACCCACCAATTCCAAAGTATGTGCGTGCAAACTGTAGAGCTCATCCAGATCTAACGTCCGTGGAAGAAACCAAGTTCGTGGCTGTTTAACTTCATGGTTAATATCTGGTTTGAATGACGGGGAACCGCATAACGTCGCGAAAATAAAAACCCACGAATTCCAAAGTATATGCAAAATGTAGAGCTCATCCAGATCTAACGTCCGTGGAAGAATTCAAGCTCGTGGCTCAACGCCTTCATGGTTAAAATCCGGTTTAAATGACGGGGAACCGCATAACGTCGCGAAAATAAAAACCCACGAATTCCAAAATATGTGCAAAATGTTGAGCTCATCGAGATCTAACGTCCGTGGATGAATCTAAGCTCGTGGCTCAACGCCTTCATGGTTAAAACCCGGTTTAAATGACGGGGAACCGCATAACGTCGCGAAAATAAGAACCCACGAATTCCAAAGTATGTGCAAAATGTAGAGCTCATCGGGATCTAACGTCCGTGGCAGAATCCAAGCTCGTGGCTCTTACACTTCGTGGTTAAAATCTGGTTTAAATGACGGGGAACCGCATAACGTCGCGAATATAAAAACCGACGAATTCCAAAGCATGTGCAAAATGTAGAGCTCATCGAGATCTAACGTCCGTGGAAGAATCCAAGCTCGTGGCTCTTTAACTTCATGATAAAATCCGGTTTAAATGACGGGGAACCGCATAACGTCGCGAAAATAAAAACCCACGAATTCCAAAGTATGTGCAAAATGTAGAGCTCATCGAGATCTAACGTCCGTGGAAGAATCCAAGCTCGTGGCTCTTTAACTTCATGGTTAAAATCCGGTTTAAATGACGGGGAACCTCATAACGTCGCGAAAATAAAAACCCACGAATTCCAAAGTATATGCAAAATGTAGATCTCATCCAGATCTAACGTCCGTGGAAGAATTCAAACTCCTGGCTCAACGCCTTCATGGTTAAAATCCGGTTTAATGACGGGGAACCGCATAACGTCGCGAAAATAAAAACCCACGAATTCCAAAGTATGTGCAAAATGTAGAGCTCATCCAGATCTAGCGTCCGTGGAAGAAACCAAGTTGGTGGCTCTTTAACTTCATAGTTAATATCTGGTTTAAATGACGGGGAACCGCATAACGTCGCGAAAATAAAAACCCACGAATTCCAAAGTATGTGCAAAATGTAGAGCTCATCCAGATCTAACGTCCGTGGCAGAATCCAAGCTCGTGGATCTTTAACTTCATGGTTAAAATCCGGTTTAAATGACGGGGAACCGCATAACGTCGCGAAAATAAAAACCCACGAATTCCAAAGTATGTGCAAAATGTAGAGCTCATCGAGATCTAACGTCCGTGGAAGAATCCAAGCTCGTGGCTCTTTAACTTCATGGTTAAAATCCGGTTTAAATGACGGGGAACCTCATAACGTCGCGAAAATAAAAACCCACGAATTCCAAAGTATATGCAAAATGTAGAGCTCATCCAGATCTAACGTCCGTGGAAGAATCCAAGCTCGTTGCTCAACGCCTTCATGGTTAACCGGTTTAAATGACGGGGAACCGCATAACGTCGCGAAAATAAAAACCCACGAATTCCAAAGTATGTGCAAAATGTAGAGCTAATCGAGATCTAACGTCCGTGGAAGAATCCAAGCTCGTGGCTCTTTAACTTCATGGTTATTATCTGGTTTAAATGACGGGGAACCGAATAACGTCGCGAAAATAAAAACCCACGAATTCCAAAGTATGTGCAAAATGTAGAGCTCATCCAGATCTAACGTCCGTGGAAGAAACCAAGTTCGTGGCTCTTTAACTTCATGGTTAATATCTGGTTTGAATGACGGGGAACCGCATAACGTCGCCAAAATAAAAACCCACGAATTCCAAAGTATGTGCAAAATGTAGAGCTCATCCAGATCTAACGTCCGTGGAAGAATCCAAGCTCGTGGCTCAACGCCTTCATGGTTAAAATCCGGTTTAAATGACGGGGAACCGCATAACGTCGCGAAAATAAAAACCCACGAATTCCAAAGTATGTGCTTTAACCCGCGCGGGGCTGGGGGGGGGGTAAATTTTACCCCCCCTCGCGAATTTTTGCGATATCTCAAAAACGGCGGCGCGCAGCGCCGCCAAACTTTCAGTACCTTTTCTTACATCAATTTGACACGTTCCCTGAAAATTGGAGCGAAATCCGTCGGAAAATTTTTGAGAAATTGACGTTTTAGTGACGTCATGTTCGCCATTTTCGCCTCAAAAACGGCAAAAGTTCAAACGCCGCTAACATCTTCATTTTTAAAGGAATCAAGACGTAACAAAAAAGGTTATACGTAATTTTACTTTGTCTATCAAATGGCTATCTCGGTTTTTTGAAAATTTTGGATTTTGGCCTAAATTTTTTCAAAAAACTGACTTTTTTGGGAAAATCATTATAAAATCCAAAATTTTGAGTCTATCGAAAAAACCGGAATATATGTCAGAGAAGTGGTCTATGTGCACCTACATACCAAATTTTAGAAGAATCGGTTCAAAAATGTGGGAGTTATTCAAAATTTTATGACGTCACGACACACAATTTTTTTGAAAAATGACTTTTTTGGAAATTCTAGATCTCGTACGGAAACAAAAATAGCACCATTCAATTCGCCGTGAAAAACTGCATCAGATAGACACCTTTTTAGGCCTTAACAACCAACTTCAAAATTTGACCTCACTTGACCTGACCTTGACCTGACCTCGACCTGAATTTCATCCAGAGGTGGTCCATATCACTTATTGAGTGTGCCTATTGAATTCTATGAGTAAAATGACCCATAAAACAAGTGTCGCACCTGCCCTTTTCTATATTTTGTTTTTTGGTGACCTGACCTGACCTGACCTGACCTTGACCTTGACCTCTGAATGATATTGTATGCAACGAATATTGTCTTGGTAGCCTAAGAACACGTTTTGGGCGATCAGTCTCAGTCCATGACTCCATTCTTCGGCAACTACGGTGCAAGGCCGATACTGTAGGAACTTGCAATTTGTACCCTTGACCTGACCTTGACCTTGACCTCAAACTTAAAATTAAGTACATGTTTTTAGTAGTTCGTGATGAGAGCTTTCGATTGGCGTTTGAATTTTCCAAATCGGACCATTAGTTCGGGAGATAACAGGGGGGGTAAAATTTACCCCCCCCCCAGCCCCGCGCGTTCGGCTGGAGACCCCAGCCCCGCGCGGGTTAAAGTATTCCAAGCTCTATATTTTACATATACTTTGGAATTCGTGGGTTTTTATTTTCGCGACGATATGCGGTCCCCCGTCATTCAAACCAGATATTAACCATGAAGTTAAAGAGCCACGAACTTGGTTTCTTCCACGGACGTTAGATCTGGATGAGCTCTACATTTTGCACATACTTTGGAATTCGTGGGTTTTTATTTTCGCGACGTTATGCGGTTCCCCGTCATTTAAACCAGATATTAACCATGAAGTTAAAGAGCCACGAACTTGGATTCTTCCACGGACGTTAGATCTGGATGAGCTCTACATTTTGCACATACTTTGGAATTCGTGGGTTTTTATTTTGGCGACATTATGCGGTTCCCCGTCATTTAAACCGGATTTTAACCATGAAGTTAAAGAGCCACGAGCTTGGATTCTTCCACGGACGTTAAATCTCGATGAGCTCTACATTTTGCACATACTTTGGAATTCGTGGGTTTTTATTTTCGCGACGTTATGCGGTTCCCCGTCATTTAAACCGGATTTTAACCATGAAGGCGTTGAGCCACGAGCTTGGATTCTTCCACGGACGTTAGATCTGTATGAGCTCTACATTTCGCATATACCTTGGAATTCGTGGGTTTTTATTTTCGCGACGTTATGCGGTTCCCCGTCATTTAAACCAGATTTTAACTATGAAGTTAAAGAGCCACGAACTTGGTTTCTTCCACGGACGCTAGATCTGGATGAGCTCTACATTTTGCACATACTTTGGAATTCGTGGGTTTTTATTTTCGCGACGTTATGCGGTTCCCCGTCATTTAAATCAGATATTAACCATGAAGTTAAAGAGCCACGAACTTGGATTCTTCCACGGACGTTAGATCTGGATGAGCTCTACATTTTGCACATACTTTGGAATTCGTGGGTTTTTATTTTGACGACGTTATGCGGTTCCCCGTCATTCAAACCAGATATTAACCATGAAGTTAAAGAGCTACGAACTTGGTTTCTTCCACGGACGTTAGATCTGGATGAGCTCTACATTTTGCACATACTTTGGAATTCGTGGGTTTTTATTTTCGCGACATTATGCGGTTCCCCGTCATTTAAACCAGATATTAACCATGAAGTTAAAGAGCCACGAACTTG